CAGCAGTTCTTGAAAAAAATGTCGAAGATCTCTTCGCACGTCTCGGGGAGTTGTTCGAAGAAGGCCATTACCTTGGAAGGCTTTATCACACCCCATAAAAAAGGAAATTTGCAAACAAATACATTGCCAGTCTTCGTTTCCGATGCGTACGCTACAACTCTAAGAACAAGGGCCCCGGTCAGTTAGTGGCGAAGTGCCTTCGGGATGGTACAGGATGGCTGGTCAGAGGGACATTGGATCATAAATGCAGTGCACAAAGCACGCGGGCTAAATATTTCAAGGCTAAATACATTGAGAAACATCAAGAGGCTTTGAAGCGTATCCAAAGCAACGAGCGAAATGAATGTAGAGATCATGAGAAAAATCCAAAGAAGAGAGTAAGAGGAGAGAAACTTCATGTCCTTCACTGTCTGTGGCAAACAAGAAATCTAGACGGAGGTAGCTTCTTGATCTGCATTTTACCTTCGTAAAGTCTGCACTAGTTACCTACGTGTATTAATCGATAAACAGAGCTGCTTCAACTTCCTTTTTCTTCATTACATTATCGTGAACTGCTTCCACACGTCTTGGAACTTAAACAGTTTTGATAACTCATTCTCCTTGCTATAACGACAAGATCTCGCGTAGTTTTTCTTTACCATTCTCGGTTCAGAATTGGAGATGAATGCCTTCTCGTAACCCACAACAGAATTAGACTCGCCGTAGTGGAAGAAGGCCATAGACATCGTCTTGCGCTTCGCATAGAGTGCTTTGTTTGAAACGATCTTCCCATCTCTCAACATTTTCCGTTCCTTTCTTCCACTGGCCAGTACATTAAGCCTTTCTCAAGTGCAGCTACTTTATCAGGCAATATCCACCACCTTAGGATATCCCGGATACTTTCGGTAGATCGCGGTATTTCCACGCGTGGCAAATCTCCTATAGCACGTTTGGGGGGTGGAATGAAATGTAACTGTGACTTTCTTTTCGGGTTGATTGTCTTACCAGGTGTGATGATAGAAGACTTTCAAACCCTTCCTTTCTCAACGCCTTTTACAACGCCCTTGAACAGAGAACGCTTTTCTAGAGTACCGGGGACGGCGTTATTTGTGATGTTGTAGTTGTTGCTGATGACTTGAAACGCAAAAGAAGAGCTTGAGATGGTATTCGATAAAGCCGCGGTATCTTCACCTCTAGCTAGCCGACCTGGGTTGTTAAGAAGAGACGGATGCGCCTGTCCTGTGAGTGGATGTGTTCCCTGTGGCAGACACAAGGGCTTATTAGGGTCGAGGGCAGACTCCATTGAGTTCAGAGATGCCTCAAACCCGTTCAATATCGTACTACCGCGAGGCGTATTGATAGGATTATGTCGTTTGTCTGGCTGAAAACTCAGAAATGAAGTTGGAAGGGACTCAATTGGACACAATTGCTGGGTTTCTGCTTCTACTATCTGCTCAGTTTCTCCATCACTTCTGGTTGCAGCGCCGGAAGACCTAATGATTTCCTTAACAACCTTACTGCGTTGCACTTCACGAGCTGTCTGTGCTTTTATCGCGATTCGGACCCGCGCATTTCCCACTATAGCTTCTTTTGCCGTTCTCCTCATTGCTTGGTACCTGTCAGGTGGCTGTCCTTCAATATCTGCAACGGAGATAAAAACGAAAGAGACCAAGGGTCATGTATTAGGTGACCTTTGGTCTCTTACGTAATAAGTTGGATCAGGATATCAGTATTTGATCTGCGGATGACATGACGCTCAAACGGCATTATTATTTATTCTCGCAGTAATGCTGTAACCAGAAAACCCTCAGACCAACTAGAGTTGCAAGTATGGCAAAATTAACTTGGATCTGAAGATACCCTCACCCAGGATCCCAAGTCAAAGCAACCTGACACAGAATCCTATCCGGGGTCAGAACATTCCGACCCCGGATCCTATCCAGGGTCAGAGTATTTCAACCAAGGATCCTATCCGGGGCCAGGAAAGTCGGCTTCATGATCCTGGGTTGGATCATGGAAATTTTATCTTCTTTTTGATCCGAGTTCGATATCTCTGATTCAGGACGCTTTCATGGCTTGCCGCCGTGGGCCTATCCTACATGCTATGCGCAATAAAGGTTACAAAAAAATTGTAACTCTCTGTACAGCGTGTATTTGGTTGGCTAGAACCAATCAACTGTGAAGGCCTTTTGCGTTCGAGTAGCGTTCCTACAGAAACATTACACCCATACGATCGGACGCAACTGCGTTGCAAGGCAAAGTTGGAAGGTATCCGGTGCCTTACAGCAAATCTTTGTCAACTCAAAGCCATCCATCAGGTCTCCCGCGAATCCCTTTCGCCAGACGGCGTATGAGATAGATCTCACTCCGGAGAGGAGACTGGTGTTGGACTGGTTCAAGTGCCGAAACTCAGGACATCATCGAATTGAGGAGACATGGACACGAAAAACTCCCGAAAGAGGGAGTTTGTAGCCGCTGCAGCGCAGATCTCAAGGCAGATAGAACGAATTCCTACATCCGAGTCTTCCCAAAAGCAATATGAATACTCGATGAATCTTTACGAAGAGTGGCTCCTTTCATTTGGAGTTGAGCCAGACGAGGTTGATTTTTCTGCAAGCCGAGATCCAGAGAAAACCCCTGTGTACATCGCTTGTGCTCTGATTCAATTTAGATGCGGTCCAAAAGAGGAAGGATTTGAGGAAATAAGGCCATGGATACTGGTGGAGCGATAAAGAGTGCAGTCGTTGCGTACTGGAATAAAAGAGGAATCAATGGAGAATATGTACGGCTCCCTGACGGAGGGTTCAGTGGAAATCCAGGAAAGTCGCCCGACATACAAGCACTGATACGAAGGTTAGATGAAGCACAACGCCTCTCGAGAGCCAACATCACTAGAAGAGCCTACCAAGAAACTCATGAAGATCTGCGGGCAATTTACGCCACATTCGTGAAGCGACAATTACCGCGAGCCGCTCGAAGAGATCCCACAGTTGACTATGCAAAGTTACAAGCAGCATGCGTAAATATAATACAGTTTCACTCAGTACCGAGAGGGGCAGAGATGCTGGATTTGAAGGTGCAAGACTAAATATTTACTAGACACTGCATTGCCTCACCGGTCATGGGAGTTCTTCCGGTAACCAAAAACAGAAATAGAAGTTACAATTACTTTCAGTTTTCAAAGGGGGTGAACATATCAATTTGTGGACTGAGTTCCCTTCTCAGTTGCTTATGTGTACTACATGTGCATAAAATTTGCAATAGATCATTGTTTCTTCAAGTGCGCTCACATGTACTGCAAGGCGGCACAAAAGTTGATGGCACGACGTACAGACGACTTCTCCGCCAAATAGGTGAGTTTTGTGGGATTGAAGAACGTGCAGAGCACAGTGCGAGAAAGGGAGGGACCGGATATCACTATTAGGTTCTCAGAAGAGATCTGTGTTTTCTTTACCGTGCTTTTTCATGGGACAGTCTCAGCAAAATGTTGAAGTACAATGGAATGGAGGACGTAACCAACTCTCAAGCTCTCTTAGGATTCACTGCATTCGGAACAAATGAGCTATTCTACTCAAGGGCCCCTGGAACTTAGTAAATGACACTAATATATCTGTTATCTCAATAATTCGTAGCTATACAATTTTGAACCTCAAAAATACGTTGTTGTTTCTCAGCTAAACATTTAGCGAATCACTGCTCGCATCAGGTACGACGCAAGTTAAAAAGATATAACTTTTTAGGTTTATAAACCTCGTCATAGACTGGTAGTATGCTGCCTTTATTGTCGGTTGTTTAGTTACTTAAAGATGTTAATACAGGTAAAATGTTTGTCTGCTAAGACTAGACGTCTGTATTAAGCATAGCTGTTGAGTCAGCGGGGTGCCGAATGTTGACTCTGGATAGTATGCTTGGTCGACAAGCCGGTACACGCTGACCATGAACGTCATTCTCGATCAGAGCTATGAAATAGGATGAAATGTTGGGTCACTGAGACGGTACAGGTTGGTACAGGACAGTGCGATTCGCCTATCCAGAGCTTTGACCTAGGATAGAATGTTCAGTCAGCCAGCCCGTACGCGCTGATTCTGGGGCATGAGTCTGTGTTAGAGACGTTTCGGACGACAGCTAGTTGAGTTGCCGAGCTGCTACAGGTTGGTCCACGACAGTACGTTTGTACAGAGCTTGGACCCAGGATAGAATGTTGGGTCAGCCAGACTGTGCGCGTAGTACGCTTGTCCAGAGCTTTGACCCAGGATAGAATGTTGGGTCAGAAAGCCGGTACACGTTGGACCCTGGATAGTATGCTGGGTCGGCGTGGCGAAACGCTGTATGGTTTTCCTTTTCAGAGGAAGGCATGTGTGGGGGCCTTCTGGTAGCGGCTTTGCGGTCAGTATGGGGAGTGGTCAAAGGATGTTCCGGCAGCACATCTTCCAATTTTACTGTTATTATCCGCCACATCCTCTGTTATCTCCTTTGTCTTGTCAAATAAGGTTGAAATTCGACGAGTTTCCCCACATCTCTTAGCCAATTAAACCACAAAGCCTAGTTTATCATAGATGGCATGGTTGGCGTGGTTTCCCCGGCCACGAATGGGTTGCCCGCATCGGAGATGTCTTCGGTCAGGCTGGTGCCAGGTCAAAAACAAAAACAAATCTGCCAGCAGATTTGTTTTTGTTTTTGACCACAAATTTAGTTTGAAAAGGTCCTTTAGTCACAGGGGAGCGGGCCCCCCCACTGTAGATGGCCCGAAGGTGGGTTATGTTTTTCTAATAATTTGCATGTTCAGATCTGGAGGTACATGTTCAAGAATGGGGTGCACCCCTCTTTATGCAGTTAGCGAGGATCCACTGTATCCTTTCAAACTGTCATTGCTGTTGAGATGCTCCTCCGACAACCGACCCGAGCCCATCAACCTCATGACTATAACCAAAAGCGACCATTGATTGGCAGGTACCCTACAAGCAGGGGCCCGAAGCGATCTGGAATGGAACGTTTCTGCTTTGAGGAAACGGGCGCGCTCTATGGCAGTTCCTAACGACGGTGAGATTCAAAACAGCTTCACTCTGTCAGCATCGCAGTCAAGCAACAACAAATTTATATCCGTCCCTCTCAGTCCACCAGTGCTCTATCCCCTCACCTCCGCGAGTTGCGCGATGGGGACCCCCGTCCTGTACCTGCGCCCCCACCTGCTCGCGCGTGCTGTCGTCATCACCTCATCCGTTACCATCCTCACAGCCCTCTTCCTGACGCACTTCATCCCCGGCCGCTTCCACATTCACCCGTACCCGTACCTTAGCGACGCGGGCCTGCGCGACCCCGAGCGCATCGTCCTCTCCTTTGGCCTCGCCCTCTCCGCCGCGCTTTTCGTCCCCGTCGCCGCCGCTCTCTACCTCCTCCACCACGCCTATCTCGACGGCGCCAGGCACGTCCGCTCCGCCCCGGCGCTCACGCTCTCAGTCACGAGGGGTAAGAGCCGGAGATGGCTATGCCTCCCGCTGCCGCGCGTTGTCAGTTGCGACGTGCTCCTGAGAGTCGGCTTGTATGCAGGCATTCTGCTTGCCTTCTTCTTGGCGTTTTTCACAGCGATTCCAGGCTGGTTTTTCTTTCATCACATCTTCGCTCTCGGTTTTGCGCTGAGCTCCGCAGCCTGGTGCCTCTCGCATGCATTGTTTTCGTATGCAAAGATTTCGGCTGACAGCGAGCAGCGACGAAAAATGTCCCGCGTCAGGGTGATGTTTGTGCTCATTGGCATACAGGCTATGGTGGTAGGGATGTTTGGTGTCATTTGGGGGTCGGTTAAGGCCCAGATCCCCTACAAGATGATCCCAAATAAGGACCCTCGCTTTGTCATGCTGGCTATTCTTGAGTACCTCGGCACATCGGCGTTTTTGATTTTTATTTGGATGGTTTCCAATGAGTTGCTCACACAACGTATCACGCTGTCCTTGACGGGAAGCGATGATAACTTCGCGTCTTTTTCGCCATGCAAAAGCAGTGTGTAAGCAAGTATGCGGCTTTTCGCCTGCGACATGACGCAAGCTTTGTCGGCTTGTGTCCCGCTCTGCCTGAGACAGAGGTTTCGCATCCTTTTATTATGGTCTCCGTGCAGTGTTATGCATAGGCCTGAGCGTCTGAGACAGTGGGTGACTACAACTATCACAAAGACTTGAGGAGCAGACGCGCGTCAGGCATTTCATTCTGTACCTGACAAGACCACGTTCACGCTGGCGCTGCCACATAAACTGTTTCAAATTCGGCTCGATTGCATGAATCTTGATTGGTTACCGAAACCTATGATGCGGGGAGCATTTGCTGTGGATTTCTGAACGCAGCAAGTGCACCTATCCCCTAATCTTCCATGCTTTTGCTTTCGTGGTGTTTCGGATTCATGTGCCCTTGGCTGGCAGGCGCTAACACAGCAATGAGATGCTGGACAACTGCACCCAAAGCCATTTTAGCGATAAGGATGGTACCGGTCGTCTCTTCTCGATGACCTGCGCGACCCCGGTCCTGGACCAGAATTATTACCGCCTGATCCGTGTCCATTTTGAGGAGCATTACCTGCTATGTCCCCTCCAGCACCACCGCCGTATCTTCCTGCGCCACCTTGATTATTGTCATATCCTAGAAACGAGGGAACGGTGGTTTTCATTCATATAAAAAAGCATGGAGAAGAATGTATGTTAGATTTGGCTGCGTGAGCTCGTGCGCGCCCGCAAAGTCGCCGTCATCTGGCTGGTACCACTGGTCGTCGACAGAATTTGTCGAGCCGAGTAGGGCTTCCATGCCTCGCTAGACATCAGACAATTGAGTGAAAGGAAATGAAACTCTTTGAAACATACCACTAGTACCTCCAGATGTACCACCACCGCCAGTTCCCCCAGTACCAGCTGCATCCCCGCTTCCACCAGAAGGCATTGTACCACCACCTGAACCACCGTTCGCGGCGTTAGCGGCGTTATTCATGTAAGCTTGCAAATACTGCTGGTACGGATTGTAACCTTGAGGATAAGCATTGAAGTTGTAACCCATGGCTGCGTAATACTGCTGCCATTGAGGACTATTATAGTATGCGCCATACTGCTCAGCTAGCGACGCGGGATAGTTGCTGTAATAGGCAGCGGCTGCAGCCGCAGCTGCATTAGTGCCACCTCCGTTTGCATTGCTGCCTGACATTCCCTCTGCGTTCCCACCACTTGCGCGCATACCTCCTCCCCCACCCCCAGAGCTGTAGTTATCTCGGTTATTTCTTCTATCGTTAGGCGCGCCCTTTGGTTCGGCCCGCTTGACTTCGACGCATTTGCCCATGATCTCATGATCAGTGTTTGACTTTCCTGGTCCTACTACAGAGTTCACGGTGGCTTCACTTCCGAAGGTGACAAACCCGAACCCCCTTGAGTTACCAGTATTATGATCAATCATGACTTGGGCATCAACTACCTCTCCGAACTGCGAGAAGTAGGCACGAAACTCGTCTGGCCCGCAGCTAGACGGCAGGCCTCCGACGAATACTTTGCACTTGGTGGTGTGATGTGCTCGATGCCCACCGCCACCCATGCCCGGTCCGGACACTTCGGCACCATAACGCGAACCAGACTGCTGCTGGGAGCGGGGTCCGGCGCCGAAGACGCCACCACCGCCCTGACTACCTCCGCCTATCCCGCCTGGTCCGCCTGGTCCGCTGCCTCCGCCACCGCCCTCGTTGCGAGGAACAGCGCGTTTCGCTTCTACTTGCCGACCATCAAGATCGTGCCTTCTGCTTGCTGCGGCACCGGCAGCATCATCATCGGCAAAAGTGACAAAGCCGAAGCCACGCGGATGTCCAGTGTGACGGTCTCGCATGATGACACAATCCGTGACGGTGCCTATTTGCTCGAAGTAGCGACGCAGTGACTCTTCTCCGGTCTCCCATGACAAGCCGCCGACAAAGATCTTACTGCCGGCGCCAGAGTTTGAGGAGGGACCAGCGGGGCCCTGGTTGGGGTTGGGAGGAGCGGGTGCTTGACCAGAAGGATCCTGGTGCTGCATGTAGTGCTGTTGCTGCTGCTGGGAGAAAGGTTGCGATTGTTGGGAATGGAGCTGCTGCTGCTGTTGGTAGAGGGCAGCGGCGGCGAGGGCAGTGGGGTCACTTGGTTGCTGAGGATTGGGTTGAGAAGGATCGCCGGAATGCTGCGATTGGGGGATGTGGTTAGACTGGGATGCTTGGGCTGATTGCCCGTAGAGGATTTCATCCTCGCCCTTTACCTGTTCAGAATTATCGGTTGGTGCGGGTGCGGAGGGATCGGCAGAATCGGAGGGCCAATTTTGATCGGGGGCGGGGGGATCTGCCGAGCGTGGCTCAGGGGCTGCGGCCGTCGGGGAGGGGCCGTCGACTGTGGGGGGATGAAGGGTGGCCATTGAGGGAACACAGAATGTGAAACCGATGGGGCGGCGAGACACGCCGGGTGTCGGATGTGGACGGGTTGTGTGCGGTTGCGGGGTTGGTCGTTCGATGCGTGTATGGGCACAAGTGTCGAACTAGAGAGGTAAGATGTGGGCAAGCGGATGAAATTCCGGAGCGTTAGTTGAGGTTGACGACTGGGAGATGGGTGAGCTTTCGTGTGCAGGTTGGCAAGGGCGGACGGATGGTGTTGAATGGGTGTCGGGATTGGGATGAGGTGTAGGTTTGATGGGTTTGATAGAGGTGGAAGGAAGAGGGGCGGATGGAAGAAGAGAGGGAAGGGGAAGAGGATGGAGGGGGGTGGGCGGGGAGGGGGGCGGGGAGGAGGGGGGGAAGGGGGGGGGTGGGGGAGTTGACGGCCGGTGAGAGAAGCAGATGGCGAAGGGCAAAGAGGGCGGATGTGGGAGAGTGTGTGGCTGTTTTGCGGTGCACAGTCAAGTTGGAGGGCAGGCGAGCGGGATGCGAGGGAGGCGAAGAGAAAGCGGATTGGTGGAGAGGGGAGGGAGACGGAAAAAAAAAGGGATGAGAAATAAGGAAAAAATCCGATGGCGGGTGTCAGGTGGCCAGGCCCTCTGACAGCCCTGCATCGCTCCCCCATCTGGCGGCCGCCTCGCCGATCGCTGCGGTCTTGTGCGCATGCCTTGCCCAGCTGTAAGGCGGGCGCGCCAACACGCGCCGGACAAGTGGCGCCCGCCTCCCCTCCAGCGCGGAGTTTCGCAGACGCTCCCCACCTGGCCGGCTCCCATTCGCTCCGCACCCCGCTTGGCCCGCGCTGTTTGCCGCACGTTGCACACAGCGTTGCCTGGCACGCTGCTCGCGCTTCGCCCGGCCAGTGCCAATTCCTTCCGGCCTTTTGTAATTTCCCAGGGCGGATCACATCTTCCCGCCCCGATCCTGCCGGGTGCATCACGTTTCACGGCAACGCCACCGCCGTCGTCCTCGCAAAGCGCGGGTGTAATACCTGTTGTCATCGCAGCTTGCTGTCCAACCGCAATGGAAGCCTGCCCGTGCTACCATGGCCCATTTATTTTTCCCGCTTTTCACCATTTTGCGCCACGTGGCTGCTCCTCATACTGCACCGCACACGTATGCGCCCATCTATACCCATACCCGTCTTGTGCTCTCTGTTCGCTCTTGACGCTGCCATTCTTCGGTCCAATCATGGGAGCGTCTGCACTTTTCTTGCTATTCCAAGCTCAAATGCGGCCCGTCTGATCCCCACGGGTTGCATCCTTATCTCCGCTCTCAAAATGCACCTCCCCATCGCAACTGTCCTCCTTCTTTCCCGACCTCTACCCTCCGCATCCCCTCCCGCACCCCTTCTCCCACCATGCGACAACCCTCCGATTCCCCCACCCCCGACGGCCCCCCCGCATATCTTCAACTCTCCTCCGGCCATGTCTTCCCAGGTACTTCCTTCGGCCACTCGGTCTCCACATCCGGTGAGGCCGTCTTCCAAACCGGCATGGTCGGCTACCCGGAGGCCCTCACAGACCCCTCGTACGCCGCCCAACTCCTCGTCCTCACATACCCCCTCATAGGCAACTATGGCGTCCCAGACATGAAACTCTGCGACTCGGACGGCATTCCTTGCCACGCGGAGTCCGACCGCATCCACCCAGCAGCCCTCATCGTCGCCGCTTACACACATAAGTACTCCCATTGGAATGCCAAATGCTCACTTTCCGATTGGCTATGCCAGGAGCGAGTACCCGCAATTACGGGCGTCGATACGCGCCATCTCACCATGGTCATTCGTGAAGCTGGCACTATGCTTGCACGCCTCGTCGTGGCGGGCTATACGGGCGGTCCGGAGATTCCCCTTGTAGATCCCAATTTGCGTAATCTCGTCGCGGATGTCTCCACCACATCTGTGCGCCAAATCAAAGGCTTGTCGGTCAAACCTGGCGCACCTCGCATTCTCATTGTTGACTGCGGCGCGAAGAATAACCAGCTCCGTGCCTTGCGAGCCAAGGCCGAGTCTCTGGTTGTCGTACCATGGGATGCAGACCTGGAGCCGCACGACGCCTGCGACGCCATCTTCATTTCCAACGGCCCCGGAGACCCCGCCATGGTTCCTAAGACAGTCCAGGAGATCACGAACGCCATGAATAGACGCCCGAACCGTCCAGTCTTCGGTATTTGTCTGGGCCATCAATTGCTCGCTCGCGCTGCAGGCTTTGACACGTACAAGCTCAAATATGGCAACAGGGGCCACAACCAGCCGTGTGTTGAGCTTGCGACTGGTCGCTGTCACATCACCTCGCAGAACCATGGATTTGCTGTTGATACGGACTCGATGGGGGACCATGCGGACTGGTATCCTACTTTTGTCAATGCCAATGATGCCACCAATGAGGGTATTGCTCACAAGACCTTGCCATTCTTCTCGGTGCAATTTCACCCTGAAGCAACTGCTGGTCCGCGAGACACAGAGTATTTGTTCGATGTATTTGTCGAGGCGGCGAGCAAAGCGAAGAATGGCGAGAAAGTTGGTGGCCTGTTCAACTATCCTTCGGCGCTGAAGAGAATTCGCGACCGCGCGGTCAAGGCGAGCTTGTCGGAACCTAACCGGCTAGGACATGCTATCGGGAAAGTTATCGTGCTGGGCTCCGGTGGCCTGTCTATTGGGCAGGCGGGGGAGTTTGACTACTCTGGCTCGCAAGCAATTAAGGCTCTGAAGAGCCAGTCTGTGCGCACTGTGCTCATTAATCCAAACATAGCAACCGTGCAGACCTCTCCAGGTCTGGCAGACAAGGTCTATTATTTGCCAGTCACACCTGAAAATGTTTTGAAAGTTGCCGAGAATGAGAGACCTGATGGCATCCTTATGACGTTTGGCGGGCAAACAGCCCTGAACTGTGGCGTCGAATTGTACAGAAGTGGTGCGTTAGATAGGTTGAATATTAAGGTTTTGGGAACTCCCGTTGAGGCTATTCTTGATACCGAGGATCGCCAGAGGTTCAATACTCGTCTTGCACAAATTGGGGAACCCTTTGCAAAGTCAGAGGCATGTGAGAACATTGAATCGTGCCTAAAAGCTGCCGAGGATATTGGATATCCTGTCATTATTCGGGCAGCATTTGCCCTTGGAGGGTTGGGATCTGGCTTTGCTGATAATGCCGAGGAGCTTCGGGCCCTTGCATCACGCGCTTTCACTTCCAGCACACAAGTATTGGTTGAGCGCTCAATGCGAGGATGGAAGGAAGTTGAGTATGAGGTCGTTCGTGATGCCTTCGACAATTGCATCACTGTGTGCAACATGGAGAATTTTGATCCGTTGGGTATCCATACCGGTGATTCTATCGTCGTCGCGCCTTCCCAAACACTTAGCGATGCAGAATATCACATGCTGCGTGATGCGGCTATTCGAACAGTGAGACACTTAGGAGTTGTTGGTGAGTGCAACATTCAATACGCGCTCAATCCGGGAAGCATGCAATACTGCATCATCGAAGTGAATGCGCGCTTGAGTCGATCCTCCGCGCTCGCTTCCAAAGCAACTGGATATCCACTAGCGTTCGTTGCAGCTCAGCTCGCACTAGGCACGTCGCTTCCAGATATACGAAACTCAATCACAAAAGAAACATCAGCTTGCTTTGAGCCCTCGTTGGATTACCTAGTGGTGAAGATTCCACGATGGGATTTGAAGAAGTTTACTCGAGTTAGCCGTTTGCTTGGAAGCTCTATGAAGTCTGTTGGTGAGGTGATGTCAATCGGACGCACTTTTGAAGAAGCATTGCAAAAAGCTGTGCGAATGGCTGGCGACAACTATGTTTCTGGGTTTGAATCAGGAATCGTGCCTTACAGTGAAGAAGCCATGACGAAGCCCACGGACGATCGCCTTCTTGCGATTGCTGACGGATTTGCGAAAGGCGTCACGGTTGAGAAGCTCCATGACCTAACAAAGATTGATAAGTGGTTTTTGAACAAGCTACATCGCATCTCTGAGTGCGAAGCCTCCATGCGATCGAAAGCAAGCATAGGAATTGACGAGCTTGTTCTAGCCAAGGAGCTGGGTTTCAGTGACCGTCACGTTGCGACCCTTATCGACGACACAGAGCTCGCTGTTCGAAAGTTGCGGGTGGACGGAGATATTCGTGCGTGCGTCAAACAGATTGACACAGTTGCGGCAGAGTTTCCGGCTAAAACAAACTATTTGTACGTGACGTATGCCGGCACAAGCGCTTTGACTCGCGCACTTCGACGCCAAGGAGTCTTCTCTCCAAGCATTGCATGTCGCGTCTTAAGGAAAGATGATGTTCTCTTTAATGAAAATGGTACAATCGTGCTTGGTTGCGGTGCGTACCGGATTGGGTCTTCTGTAGAGTTCGATTGTTGCGCAGTATCAGCTACCAGGACGCTAAAATCGCAGGGGATACGGTCGATAATGATTAACTACAACCCTGAGACGGTGAGCACTGATTACGACGAATGTGATCGCTTGTACTTCGAGGAGCTGTCGTTCGAACGTGTTCTGGACATTTATGACATGGAAAGGGCCTCTGGTATCATTGTTTCGATGGGTGGACAGATAGCGAACAACATTGCAATGAAACTACATAGACAGTCCGCTCGAATCCTTGGCACGACCCCGGAAATGATCGATAGTGCCGAAAACAGGTACAAGTTCTCACGAATGTGTGACAAGATTGGCGTTGATCAACCTCGATGGAAGGAACTTTCCTCTATTCCTGATGCTAAAGCATTTTGTAACGATGTCGGGTACCCCGTTCTTGTTCGACCATCATATGTGCTATCAGGAGCTGCCATGAATGTGGCGCACAAAGCTGAGGACCTTGAATCCTATTTGGGCGAGGCTGCCACAGTTTCCCCCGACTGTCCTGTCGTAATATCCAAATTTATTCTTGAGGCAAAGGAAATTGAGGTCGATGCCGTTGCCGACAAGGGAGAGCTTGTTATGCATGTGGTGTCGGAACATGTAGAGAATGCCGGTGTTCACTCTGGGGATGCTACTCTCGTATTACCACCTCAGGACTTAGATGAGGTTACGGTGAAGAAAGTGGAAGCGGCGACAGCAAAAGTCGCGCAAGCTCTCAACGTTACAGGTCCCATGAATATTCAGTTCATCGCGAAAGAAAACGAGATCAAAGTCATTGAGTGTAACTTGCGTGCTTCCCGAACGTTTCCGTTTATATCGAAAACAATCGGCCTTGATCTTGCAAAGTTAGCCACAAAAGTCATGTTGGGTAGGCCGGTGAAGAGGTATCCGGTTGACGTCAAATCGATTCCATTTGTGGGAGTTAAAGTAGCACTGTTTTCATTTACGAGATTACTTGGGGCCGATCCCATTCTAGGAGTCGAAATGGCTTCAACTGGGGAGGTAGCTTGCTACGGGGCATCGAGAGAAGAAGCCTACATGAAGGGTCTTATTGCAACAGGGAAGACCCCTCCGTCAAAATCTATTGCAGTCTCCATTGGGTCATATAAGCAGAAGCTTGAATTTCTTGACTCAGCAAAGCGACTCGTGGCAATGGGAATCAAGCTGATTGCGACGCCTGGAACGGCTGATTTCTTCCAGGAGCATGGTGTGAAAACTGAGGTTGCCTTGTGGACGGCAGAGAACGAATATACGGAGTCAGAAGTTGAAAACACGGTTGAAAAGATGCTCCGAGATGGCCGGATTGAGTTCTTCATTAACATTCCGTCCAACAACAAAATTCGGCGCCTCGCTTCTTTTGAATCCCCAGGTTACCTCTGTCGTAGGGCAGCTGTCGATTTCAACATTCCACTTCTAACGAACATCAAGTGCGCGAAGCTGTTTGTGAAAGTAATGGACTTGATGCACAACTTGGAGCGTTCCTTGCCGTTAGGTCCGTATGATGCGAGGTTTACGGCCAGAGTTATACCCCTACCAGGTTTAATATTGCTCGATACCGCGGTGGACCACCCCTCCAAACTACGACTGAATGCGAAAAAGTTGAAGACGTTTGCCTCGGCAACCGGTGAAGCGCTGCGTGGTGGTTTTGCCCTTGCTGGAATTTCACTACGACCTGAGGGATGTCAGACACCGGAAGACTACTCACATGCCCTTAAGGAAGCTCGGGCTCAAGCTTGCTGCGATTTTTCCCTCTTTGTTACAGCGAGACCCGGGAATGCAGCCGTCATTCGTCCGCTGGCCGGACGGGCGGCCGGTTTACGAATTCATCCAACAGCTGCCGACTTGAACAAGAGCAAAGGCGTCGACGCCTGGATGCAACATTTTGAAGCTTGGCCTAAAGAGGCGCCAGTTATGGTGCAAGCATCCGGGAGTACGTTGGCAGCACTTCTTTTTGCAGCAGTCGTAACTGCCCGTCAAGTACATATTCGACAAGTGAACAAAAAAGAGGATATTGAGCTTATTCAAGCCAGTAAGGCAAGAGGACTGGGGATATCTTGTGATGTCAATATTCTAGATTTGTACGCGACAGATGCCAGCAACCGAATAGATCGACGCGATCAGGAGGCTTTGTGGGAGAATCTGGAAGTCTTAGACGCAATCACTGGTCCTCCAAGTCTGATCCTTCCATTACTACTGGAATCAGTTTATTCGGGGCGCATCGATATTGAATGGGTTCGATCCCGTCTATATGACCGACCTGCCCAGATCTTGGGTCTATCAGCAGTTCTATCTGGCTCATCTGGAGTAGAAATTGATGTCGATGAAACATGGGAAGGCGCTGCTGCATCAGATGTGGCCGGTATTCGATGCCGTGGGTACGTGCGTAGAGTTGTGAACAATGGCCAGGTCTTGTATCTTGACGGCAAAATTTGGGCTCAGCCTGGTTCCGGAAGCAATGTCATGACGGATCAGGTTGGATTTGCAGGTTCATTGCAGGACACCCCTGATGTGAAGACGCCTACTTCTGAATTTGGTCTATCTAGACCTCCTCGTTTCGAAACGGTTGGTGGAACCACCATCGCGGCACCGCGACCAATCCGAAGCTCTATTTCTGAGCGCAAGGTTCAGCAGTGGGATGGCATTGCGGGTATTCCGCCTAGGAGTCCCATGATATCACCGATTCCAACAGATACAGACTCAATAGGAGAATCCACACTGCTAAGTGAGCCATCCAGACCAATAGGAACGAGTATGAACGGGTTCATCGGTCTACCAAATGGGGGACTAAAGTCTTCTACAGAGCCAAGTCCCACGCTCGTCAAAGCGCTGCCCGGGTATGGGAGTGGATGGTGGGCCGGGCGCCATATTCTCTCTGTGGCTCAATTCACACGTGATGACCTTCACAAGCTTTTCGAGGTGGCACAGGAAATGCGAACCATGGTATCTCGGGTTGGACAATACAATTTGCTCCGAGGAAAGGTGATGGCTTCACTCTTTTATGAGCCCTCAACGCGCACGTCGTGCTCGTTCCAGGCTGCGATGCAACGACTAGGAGGAACGGTCCTGAATGTGCAGGACACTGGCTCATCATCCATTTCGAAAGGTGAATCAGTTGCAGACACTGTTCGGACTCTAGACTGTTATACTGACATCATCGTGATGCGGCATCCAGCCGTTGGTGCACCACAAGAAGCAGCATCTTTCTCCAAGCACCCGGTAATCAACGCTGGAGATGGAGTCGGGGAACATCCAACGCAAGCCCTACTGGATGTGTTCACTATCCGGGAGGAATTGGGAACAGTGAATGGTATCACAGTGACATTTGTTGGAGACCTAAAACATGGAAGGACAGTGCATTCATTAGCACGCGTACTCGCTATGTATAACGTGAGAATGCGATATGTTTCTCCCGACGCGCTTAGCATGCCATCAGCACTGCTAGCGGATCTCGCTGGTGCTGGTGTGGAACAACAGGAGTATCGTAATCTGAACGATGAAATCATGCGCGAGACGGACGTTTTGTATGTAACGCGGGTTCAGAGGGAAAGGTTTTCAAGCCCTGAAGAGTTTGAAAGAGTGAGGGATTGTTACACGATTACACCGAAGACGTTGTACCGGGCCAAGGAGCAAATGATTGTGATGCACCCGCTTCCGAGGAATGGGGAAATCTCGACAAGCGTGGATACCGATCCCCGGGCAGTATACTTCCGACAAATGGAGCACGGAATGTATGTCAGAATGGCACTCCTTGCCATGGTACTGGGGAAGAACTAAAAGTGGCACATTAGTAGTGTGACATTCTTCTTTTGATGATTCTTCTCAAGGAATACACGAATCTTCTGTCCCTGTCGCCTATCAGATGTGGCGCATATGCAGCTTTTTTTTTCATGTACAGTAAAAGTTGTAATGTACTCATACAGTATCATATCGAATCCTCCGATACTGACACTGGACAAGATGACCTGGCAGAGCAGGATGGTGTTTGCGGGTTACGCGGTGGTTGCGGGTTGTGCGGTGTTGCGGGTTTGCGCAATGTGCAAGTGCGACTCACCTCGTGAAGGCAGATTGCTGGGAGATTGCTTCAGTCCCCTCAGACGGGTAACCAAGAGCTTGCGTTTTGTTTCCACGATTCTTGAATTAATCCTGAAAGTCTTCAGACTTTTAGGATTAATTCAAGAATCCTACACGACTCCATGCATTGAAGACGGGATTGAAGACCATGGAGTCGTGTAAGACTATCCATCGCGTCTATGACATACAGTACACTTGGACTATACGGTATGTACTGTAGTGTTGAATGGCGCATGGTTACACGAAAAATGAAAGCTATGTTAGTGGGCCATGCAGCCAGAGACATCGCAGCCAGGGCCATCGCAGCCAGGGCCATGGTTGTGAGTGTTACACGTGTAACTTGAAATTCCTCGCATATGGTGGCACGGGTTCCACCTTCAATGTTGGGCAGAGTGCCACAATTGAAAATATGAAGATTGAAGGTTCCACTTGCCTATTACAGTACCTCCGCCAGAGAAGCTTGCACGATAATTGGATGCTTCCACATGTAATCCGCCTCTCGCCAGCGTGACAATATCTGGGGTAATCTGCCACAGCTTCACCACGGCTAGCATGGTGACATCTTGCATTCCTGCTTTTCTTCGTACATTACCCCCCATTCGAACACATCGCTCTGATTTTTTAAACGGTTACCACGACCCTTTACAAGGCAGGTCACTGCCTCTCATAAGAAAATATTCTTTCGTGAGTCCTATCTCGAAACCTGGCAATAATTCTTTTCGCACCCTAAACTAACTTCCTCCACTTTGTGCCCGAGGACACCTTGTCTTCGTCCTTGTCACCCCTCCACTCGACCTTTTCTCCCGTTTTACAGGCACTTTTCCCCCTCCCGCAGCTACCCAACCCTCTATCTCCATTTAGCAACATCCCCCTCATTTTCCGAGCACCCTCCCAACCCTCCCACCATGACGAATGCATTGTCGGTCCTCTCCACCCAGCCCCGCGCCGCCCTGGCCGCCACTGCCGCTGCAGCAGCTGCTGGCGGTCTCCTAGCCCACAAATGGAACGCTGCAGTGCAAAATAAGCGTCTCGAGAAAGGCTTCTTACGCGCTTCTCGCCGACACCGAGTCGGTGACGACACGGACTCGGATGAAAAGCCTGCATTAGTCGCTAAAGTCGATGCCCAGTTCTTCGCCAATCTCACTGCCTTTGTCAAAATTTGTATTCCAGGCGTCGCCTCCACGGAGTTCCTCGCCCTCTCCACTGTCGCGGCCCTGCTGGGTGCCAGAAGTTACCTCGACTTGTGGGCAAGCTCCAATGGAGGGCATGTCGTCAAGGCTATTGTCGGCCGCGACAAGGATGCATTTATCCAGAAAGCAATCATTGATATTGCCACCATGATGTTTCCGATGTCTTTTGTGAACAATTCACTCAAGTACATGATTTCTCGACTGAAGGTGCTCATGCGAAGGAGATTGAGTATGCACTTTCATGACAAATACTTGTCCTCCAATACGTTTTACAAGGTCTCCAATCTTGATTCCAGGATACGAAACATTGATCAGTTGCTCACCGTCGACATTGAAAAGTTTTGCTCTTCCATGGCCGATCTGTACTCTAACATTTCCAAACCCTCCTTTGATATTATCTTGTTCTCGAGACAACTATCGAGGAGCCTCGGACCCTCAGGTCCCATTTGTATGATTTTGTACTTCGGCTTCTGTTCAATAATTTTACGGGCGGTCCAACCACCTTTCGGGCAGCTGGCGGCAGATGAACAACGATTGGAAGGTGAATACCGTCTCCACCATTCACGGCTCATTGCACATTCTGAGGAAATTGCCTTTTTCGGCGGCGGAGGCCGTGAAAAGCAATATATCAATCTCGCGTTTGACAACGTGGTTGATCACTTGAAGAAGCTATTCGCAGCCAGATGGAGGAACGGGTTTGTTGACGCAATCCTAGTCAAATATCTAGCCACAGTGGTAGGATATTCCATTGTGTCCATCCCTGTCTTCTTTACGGATTCCATGGTCTTTCAGGTTCTCAATCACCCAAGACGCTTTTTGGCAGGCAATACTAGAAGCAAGAAGAAAACAGATCCCGAAACTACTTCTGCATCAAATATTGCTGGTCTGTACACAAGAAATTCCAGGCTTTTGCTTCAACTCGCAAGTGCTATTGGAAGATTAGTGCTTGCGGGGAAGGAAATCACCAAGCTAACTGGTTATTGTCAACGTGTCACCCGTCTTCAACATGTTCTCGATGACCTCGGGGATGAGCGGGCAGTGCAGAAGAGATTTGAATCATCCCCGGACCTTGAACGGGATCTCAAACTGGCGGAACTCATGATCCCAGGAGAGCTGATTGTCGGTTCAGAAGATGAAGGTCCTGAGAAAAATGTAGTCCGCTTCTCAGGAGTTAACCTGCTGTCCCCAGATTGTACGATCCTTGCTGAAAACCTGACATTTGAGATCCCGCGTGGGTGTCATGTTCTCACTACGGGCCCGAACGGCTCTGGCAAAAGTTCTCTATTCCGAGTTCTCGCCGGGCTTTGGCCATTATACGGCGGTACGCTACATAGGCCGTCGAGGTCTCGAATTTTCTACGTACCGCAAAGGCCGTATCTCGCACTCGGTACTCTTCGGGAGAATGTTACTTACCCGATGACATGGACGGAGGCCGTCCAACAGAAAGGGGCAACAGACGACCTCATCATAGAATTATTAGAAATGGTGCATCTTGGAGACATCACTCGCAGAAAGGGGGGCCTTGATGCCGTCCAGGATTGGGCTGAAGTCCTGAGTGGAGGCCAGAAACAGAGGTTGGGTTTTAGTCGTCTTCTTTTCCACAAACCGGACTACGCTATCTTGGACGAAGCTTCTTCGGCAGTCTCTATAGACGTCGAGCAGCTCTTGTACCAGTCTGTGAAGGACTGCGGGATCACGCTGATTAGCGTTAGCCACCGCCCTAGTCTATGGAGTTTCCATGACAAAGTTTTGGCCTTCGATGGAGAGGGAAGCTACGAATTCAGAGAAATCAAAGCTGGAGACGTTCCTAGCCTTGTTTCCGGCGTACCAGGTTCTTCCGGCACATGATGACACAGGGGCATTGCAATGCATGATTGGCACATGTGGTACACATGAATATGAGACTCAAAATTTTTGTACAGGAGCCCTTTCGTTTTACATACAAGCTCGCGATCACCATGCCTTGCATTTTGGGGATTTGTCTCTATCTACACAGAGGAATATAAGTACAAAACCGTAGAATGACACATTGGTTTGGATTGTGCATACCTTTTCTTCCCAAACCAACCTCTCGTGTCTTGTAAACAGCATAGTACCTAGTTTTTCTTTTCGGAATCGTCCTCATTCAACATCTGTAGCACTTCCTCGTCAGTCGGTGTCTCGTCGCTGTAGTACCCTCTGTCGTCTGGATCCTTCCACATTTTCACAAGTTCAATGTCATACACAACAGTTCCATCTCCCTCTTGAAGAGCCTGTGAAAACTGCCTTCGCTTTCGATCGGAAGCGGGGACTGGACCAAGATTGCTGTTGCTATACGCAATTGGACGGGGAATGATAGCTCTTCTCCGCCCTCCAGTGGACATGGAATGAATGGCTTCTTCCAGGCCAAGTATTTGCTCGCCGTTTCCATGATGAATGAGATAGCCGACTTTGGAGTAGTTGTCGGATTTATCGCGCTTCACGAGCGCTCCGCCAGAGGTCGTGACGGTGTATGCGGTATACTTGATTAAGACGAAGTCTCCCCACTTTGGAGTTGGGCCCTGCCCCTCCTGGAAATCATAGTATTTCAGCCCGCTTTGAGTAAGAAACCCCTTGGCCGGTGCCGGAGTTTCGGCCTCTTGCGTTGGTTGTGCGGTAGCAACAGAGGGAAGTACAGCTTGTGCTGCAAAACTTGCGACGGCTAGCAGGACTGCTCTCCTTGGCACTGACACACTTTCATCACTTCGAGAGGCAGAACATGTCCATGACTTCGGAGCGATACACGGACTCTTTGCAAACGGCAGAGTGGGCACGCAGAATGCCGCATGATGTGCCAAACTATCCATGAGGTTGCGTGTGGTGTGAAAAGGAAGCGGCTATGGTGGCGATGGGCATGGACACGTTGAGGTTGTGATCAACAGAAAGTGCTCAGTTGTGGGCTTGGGCGATGTTGGGTTTCGGAGATCAAGTGGTTATGTATAAAATTCTTCGAAAAGATGCCAAAAAAATGCTGAACAGAGCTTTCTACGGTCCTTTGATTGCTCTGCGCAGACACCCGTTGCGTTATTTCTTTACAAGTATGTTTCTAGTGTCTCTAGCTAGAAAGAAGAACATTGCCCATCCATGTGGCCGGTTCATTTGTCGCCTTGAACCTACAAAGAATGCCCTTCTTAAGTCACTCGACGGAACAATCAGCATATGACAACTCCTTCGCTGGAAAGCCCGGACTCCTCATCAACATCATCAACACACAACCAAACCCTGCGGCGAAGTCTCTTCTAGATTCGGTTTGTATCTCCCGCTGGAGTGCGTCCTCTCCTCACAAAGCAGTGTACTGGAGTTTCCCGGACGACCTGTCCTTCATTACTGGTAGCTCCGAGTAACACGCAGACACATAACTGCATCGATACGTGATAAAATTGCCTTTACCGACGAGACGATATTCTAGCAGTCCCGGGTGAGCCGCACCACTCGATGCATGATCCACCGCTGAAATGGGAGCGCTCAGCACAGGGACACGTAGCAACCATCTAAACCGACAATTCGCCTGCGGCATGCAGAAGCGTTGGAGGTGCACACGTCGCGTTGCTCCGTTCAGTCTGCAGCAGCAGCAGCAGCAGAGTGGATTGCGTCGCAAGCGTGGTTGTGGCCGCCTCGCAAATGATTGCCGTCGTCAGCTCCACGCCGTGATTTGCGGCCCTCCCTTCTCGCCCGAGGGGCAGTCCAACCGCGCTCTCACTCCTTCTCGGGCGGCTGCAAGTCGTCCGGGTCGGGGGGCTCGATGCCAAAATTGACGTCAGTCTTGAGTACCTTCCTGAGGATGTTATCCTTGACCATCATCTGCCGTGCGATTTCGATGGCGAGCTTGCGGCGCTCGTCGGGGTGCATGCGGTCGACCTGCTCCTCGTACTGCTTGAGCAGGAGCTGCTGCGCGAGCGTGAGCTGGGTCGGGACGTCCGACATCGGCTCGGCCTTGTCGTCGTCCGAGGGGATGTAGCCCGTCTGCGCGCGCACGGACGGGCGCGCCGAGAAGCGCGGGCGCTTTGGCGTCAGAAGCGGCGCGTGCAGCGGGCTGCGGGAGGGGGGGAAGGCGGGCGGCGCGAACGCCATAGCGGGAAGAGGCGCTTGTGCAGCAGTGTGGGGGGCGGGGGGAGGGAGAAGGAGTGGAGAAGCGGAATTCGCGGTTGCCAGGAGACGAGGCGCGGGGAATGTGAAGAGGGGAGAGCGGGAATCGGCAGATGTGGGTCGGAAGGAGGAGGAGGATGTGGGACGAATGGTGTGGGAGATGGTGGGGTAGGGTTTCGAGGGCACAGGAGGGCACGGAAACACGTTGGTTGAGGCGTGGTGGAAAAATAAAGCAAAACGCGATTCCGTGCTCTCAAGGTAAGAAGGTGCGTCCGCGATGACAAACACGCGAGTCTGCCTCTTTGAGCTTGAATTGAGCGTGCTGTTCCTCGTGGCCCATCGACAAACGCTTTCCGCATCGCGCGCGTACACGCAGGCGCGAGTCGGAAAGCAACAAGTGCCTAGGAGCGCAAGCGCGGGGATGGCGGCTGCGCACCAACTCGGCGGCGGTCCCAAAGTGAGTGAGTGATTTATTGGGAATAATAAAGGCCGCGTTTCGACGCGCGTCCCAACACGAACGCGAGGCACGAGAAAGATT